AAGACTACACTTCCCAGCCTCCCTTGCGGCTAAGATGCCCACGTGCCTAAGAGCTGGCCAATCAGATGTCGGTAGAAGTGGCTGGGTAGAACTTGCAATGGGTTAGATAGTCCGCAAACTGTCTTGGGGGCTGTTTTGCCCTTTGTGCCCTTCTTTCTGCTTCCGGTCTGGAATGTGGATGTGGCCATCTTGGAAGTCTTGGAGAGAATGGAAACCAGGCCCCAGCTAAGGATGACGGAGCGGAGAGAGAGCTGGGTCCCTGGTGACAATGTGAAGTCACCTGTTCCAGTTTTGAGCAGTCTCTTTTTATGTGAGCGCCATCTCTGTGAGGTGCTCTAACATATCCCAAGCCAAACTCTGCCACCGAGTTGATCCTGACCCATCGTGACCCTATAGAACAGAGTACCACTGTCTCTGCGGCTTTCGGAGGCCGCCACTTTGCAGGAGCAGAAAGCCTCCTCTTTTCTCTGGCTGGTGGCTTCGAACTGCTGCCCTTGCTGTGAGAAGCCCGATTCATAACCCACCAGGGCTCCCCAACATATACCCCTGTCTCTTTTATATCATAGGCTTGTCCTCTCTGTCTCGTTGTGGGTTCTTTTCAGTCGCTGGTGGCATAGTGGTTATGCACTGGGCTGCTCACCACAAAGCCAGCAGTTCAAAACCACCAGATGCTCCCTCGGAGAAAAAATGAGACTTTCCACTACTGTAAAGAGTTACAGTCTCGGAAACTCACAGAGGCAGCTCCCCGCTGTGCTATAGGGGCGTTATGAGTCAGAATTGACTCGCTGGCAGAGAGTTTGGGGTTTTGGGGGAAGAGACGTTTTAACAGGTCTACCCAGAACCCAGCCCGATATTAGTCACTGACCTTCTGGTGTGAATCTGGGTGGTGGAGGGAGATAAAACAAATGCAAATTCAAAGCAGTTCCCTCGGGTTGATCCCGACTCATGGCGGCCCCACGTGTGTCAGACTCGAACGAGCTCCCCAGGGGGTTCAGTGGCTGCTGACGCATCATACGTGGATTTCCAGGCCTTTCTGCCGAGGTGCCTCTCAGTGGGCCTTTGGTGCCACCCCAGGATTCCAGGGGAGGACAGCGATACGATTTCTCTTTTCTGGGCTGGGTAGAGTGTGGGTTGAAGCCCATCCTCACCTCCTACCTGTGTGATCTGGGGTTGCCTCCCGCTGTGCCACCACTTGGACACCCTCCCACCTCAGGGACTCTTCATGTTCCACAGGGTCTCTTCAAGGGGGGGTAGAGTCAGGGGATGCATTTTAGCCTTTCTCCTTTAGAGGCCAGAAGTGGTCCCGTGACCACCACTGGCTGCAAGGTAGTCAGGGAAAGTAAATACGTAAAGTAAAGCCTTTTCAGCTTCTCTTATGGGAGGCAGGACCTCCCCTCGGGAAGAGGGGGGAGGAGTGGGGGCTGGGGAGTCATCAGCAGAGTCGGCCACACCCTCCACCTTCAGGACGGTCACTCTTACTGGAGCAGGAAGCCTCAGTTTTCTTCTGTGGAGGGGCCAGTGGCTTTGAACTGCTGACCTTGGGGTTAGCAGCCCAACATACAACCACTACGCCACCAGGGCTCCTAACCAGGGACCACTGGGAACTATTTAAAAAATTTTTTAAAAAGCCATTGGCTCAGAGAGAGAAAGCCCTGGTTATTTGCTCCTGCAAAGATGATCGGCTTACAAATCCTAGGGGACAGTTCTACTCTGTCACCAAGGGTCGCTATGGCACCTGGCAACACACACAACACACCCTCGATTTCAACCAGACCAGTTTCTTCTTTGTCTTACGTATATTAGTTTTCCCTCTCTCATCTATCCATCCATCCATCCATCCATCCATCCATCCATCCATCCATCCATCCATCAATCATCTTTTAAGGTGGCTTGGTGGTGCAGTGGGTTATGCATTGGGCTGCTAACTGCAAGGTCAGCAGTTTGAACCCACCAGCAGCTTTGAGGGAGAAAGATGAGGTTGTCTGTTCCCATTAAGATTTACAGCTTTGGAAACTCATTCGGGCAGTTCTATGCCCCGTAGCAGTGGTTCTCAACCTTCCTAATGCCGTGACCCTTTAGTACAGTTCCTCAGGTGGTGGTGACCCCCAACCATACAATGATTTTCGTTGCTACTTCATCACTGTGGTTTTGCTACTGTTGTGAATCAGGAAACCCCTGTGAAAGGGTCGTTCCACTCCCAAAAGGGTGGCAACCCCCCGGTTGAGAACTGCTGCCCTTAGGGTTTCTATGAGTTGACATCAACTCCATGGCAGGGAGTTGAGTCTCTTTTTTATTTGTCTTATATATTTCTGTTTCTGCTTTTTCCTTGATCACACTTGCAAAAAGGCTGTTTCATTGGCATTTTCGAAGAACCAACTTTAGGTTTTAATGACTTTCTTTAAATTTCTTTAAATTCCTTTCTGTGTTTACCTCACTTAATTCCTTACTTCTTTTTATCTTGAGCATAAGGAATTATTTTAGTTTCGAAGTGAAAAACTGGTGTTGTTTATTTTCAAACTTTTGTTGCTATTTTTGAGTCCTGTAAATACCTCTAAATATTCAAGGCTATAATTTTCCCTCTGAGTACAGCTTTGGTCCCATCCTACCCTGTTTGGTATATAGTATCTTGCAATTTGATGCTGGTCGTTACTTTACATATTGATGGCCCCAAGGTCAGCAGCTCGAAACCAGCCTCCACAGGAGAAAAATGAGGCTTTCCATTCCCAGAATGAGTTCTACTCTATCGTATAGTCACTAGGCTTTGGAATTGACTCTCCGTGGCAGTGAGTTTGAGGATTTTGTTTGTTAACCTAGCCCAAGACAACACCTTAATTTACTGATAGACAAACTAGTGAATCGTGGCAAGTGTTGGTAGCTATAGTGTAGATTTTATAACCCTTATTCTTGGGTGCCTTCAAGCACTACTCATCATCCCAACTCAGCTCTGAGATTTTTCATTCTTGTTGATGACCCTGCAGGGTGGTCAACACCACCTTTTCCAGAAAAACTCGGTGCTGGAAGTTTCTGAAGAATCCGGTTGCTTTCTGTTCTTGTCCTTTTTCCTTTACCCAACTATGACTTCTCACCCACACCAAGAAATGTTCTCTAGTGGGACAGCTTGTATGTGTGAGGGTGGTGGTGGGGCTTTGTGGCTCAGCAGAGAGGCGTTAGAAGGTTGAGTTAGTTAATTGTGCCAACCTGGCCGATAAACACACGTGGGGCTAATTGAAAAGCAGAGGGATAAATGGGTGGTGAGCCTCACCTTTCTAGTTCTCGGGTCTCTTGCTTTGTGATGGTCACACCTGGGTGCAGCTGCCTTAGCAGTTCCCTGCTTCAGCTTGCAAGATTGACTTCCTACAAGACATCCCCAAGGAGAAGCTACATGGACCTATCCCAATGCAGCCCTGGGTGCTGGAGCAGCCATGTGGAGACCCCTGCTAGTGCTGAGATGCTTATTCATTCACTGACTCAGCTTTCCTCCTGCAGTCGGCATCATTGCCTCTGTTTTGTGAGGTGGAGGACTTCGTGGGCTGGTGTTGTGTTAATGGGTTAATGTTGGACTTGTGGGCTTGGGCAGCATTGGGTTGGGCTGTTTTCATGATGCACACTTTCTTTACATAAAACTCTCTTATACATGAGTTGCTGTGGATTTGTTTCTCTAAAGTACCTAGACTAATACAAAGGCATATCCTCTATGCCTACCACCCTCCATTTCTCTCCCCTCAAGCCCCACTCCTGTCCTCTCTGCATTCAACTTATTCACAGAGCTTTCTTGGTGGCCCTGGGAGACCACCACAAACCCACTGCCATCGAGTGCCTTCTGGCTCACGGGGACTCTTTCCAGTAGGGATGTGTTTTCAGGGTCATGCACACCTGCCTCAGAGGACAGCCAGAGGGCTCCACGGATGGGAGGACGGGCAGATTTTGTCTTACGGACTTTGGACACGCTATCGAGAGACAGACTGGTTCCAGGAGAAGGGCATCGTGCTAGATAAAGTGGGAAAAGAGCAAGGCTTCAACAAGATGGATTGGCAGTGGCTGCGCCCGTGGTCTCAGACATGGCGGCGATTGCGAGGCTGGTGCAGGACCGGGCAGTGTCTTGTATTGTGTGTGGGGTTGATAGGGATCATGACCAATTTGGTGGCACCTTAACAACAGCAGCAGAGGGAGCCCTGGTGGTGTCGCGGTTAGGAGTGGGGCTGCTACCTGCAAGGTCAGCAGTTTGAAACCCCCAGCTGCTCCTCGGGAGAAAGACAACGTTTTCTCTTCCTGTAAAGAGTTACAGTCTCAGAAACCCACAGGGGCAGTCCTGTCCCGTGCTATCAGAGTTGCCGCGAGTCAGAACTCACTCAATGGCAGTAACTTGATTTTGCTTTTTGACATCAACGGATGGTGTCTGAGAGAGATTTGAGGAGATTCTAGGACCACGGAGGGCATGCTAGGGGAGCTTTTGCGCCATAGATGAGAGCTAGATGGTACTGGGGCTCTTTCTGAGACATCTGTTCATTCTCTGGAGGAGTCCTGGTGGAGTAGTGGTTAGGCATTGGGCTGAGATCCACAGGTCAGTAGTTCTAAAGTGCCAGCCGCCCTGTGGGTGAAAGGTGAGACTTTCTACTCCCGTAAGGAGTTCCGGTCTTGGAAACCCTCAGGTTCTCCTGTCCTATAAGGCCGTGAGGAGTGAACATCGACTGGACAGCCGTGAGTTTGGTTTCTTTGGTTCGGTTCGTTCTCTGGGTACAAACAGGCCTGTTCTGGGGCCTGGGGGGTGAAGTGGGACACAGGGTAGGGGAAGGCCAGAAGCCAGCTCCGTTTGGTGTCCCAGAGAAGGGGCAGCCTTTGACCTCAGGGAAGCAGGGCTCTGAGGTCTGTCTGTCCAGTGGGGGGGCTTGGACTAGTGGGATGTGGGCACCCAGGTGCATACCCAGACTGAGAAGGAATCGTGGGTAGGAAAGGGAGTGTGGCCCCCCAGGACATGCTGGAAGGAAAGACGGACACGGGGGTGCATTAACCTGCACGTTTATGGCCTGCGTGGCTCTCGCACAGCTCAGGGGAGGAGTCGGCCCCGAGGGCTCCAACTCTAGGGTGGAAACAGGAGGACACCGGGATCCTGGTGGGACATCCTCGCTGCAGCAGGGAGGCTGGGACGCGGAGTGGTTCTTCTCACAGGTGTTCTCCAGGGCCATGAGACTACTCCAGGGCTGCGGGGGCAGGAAGGGCAGGGGGAGAAGGAGGCTGTCAAGGAGGAGGAGGACCAGGTTCCCGTCACCCCACCCTTCCTGCTCCTCTGCCCACTCCCAGGTGGGTCCCTGGGTAGCCCTGCCCATCCCCCACGCTCAGCCTGTGGCAGGTTCAGGTTCAGGAGGGTGGCGTTGGTCCTCACGCGAGGGAGGGAGGCTGACTGCGAGAAGAGAAACAGGGTAAAAAGGGGTCCCTAGGCTCCCTCCGGGGGTGGGGTGCAGCTACCACCAAACATCATTCTTCTCATCACGTTGACCCAGACAGCCAGGCTTTGGTAAGTGAATGGACGGAGGAGGGTGAGGGTGGGCAGGTGCCTGGCCAAGAGTGAGTCTCTGGGCAGAAAGACAAAATCCCTGCCTGACATGTGGCCTTTGGGGGCACCAGTTTTGGGAGCTTCTAGTCCAGTGGGTGAAGCCTGGCTCTGTGGACTTCTGGGCATGCCTAGTCTGACAGGGGAGACACAGTTCCCTGATTCTGAGAGCTCCAGTCTGATGGAGGAGACACAGTCCCTGACTCTGGGAGCCCCCAGTCTGATGGAGGAGACACAGTCAGTCCCTGACTCTGGGAGCCCCCAGTCTGATGGAGGAGACA